GGAAGCATGAGCACATCACCCCCATCCTTCACACCCTCCACTGGCTCCCCGTTCACCTCCGTATAGAATACAAGATCCTCCTGAACACCCACCACTGTCTCCACGGTGATAAGATAAGATAAGATAAACCTTTATTAGTCTCACAGTGGAGAAATTTCAGTGTCATCGTTGCACATTACAGCAGAGAAAGGAAATAAGAGCACTCAGATTGCACACATCAAAGTCTATTATTTAAGATAATAGACAATAAATGTAAGATAAAATAAAATAAAATAAAATAAGAAAATCTGGGCTACAATTGCACTTGGTTCAGAGTATTTACAGATGTCTATATTATACATTAGCAGCGGAGAATATGAGAATATGAGCAGAATAAACATCAGAAATAATATCAACAGGTAAAGTGACTTGAATGGGAGAATTATCAGATGGATATGAATAATACAGTAAGATATCAACAGGTAAAGTGACGGTGGAAGGCAGAATTATCAGATATGAAATAATACAGTAGTACTGATAACAGTAAATATCAGATATGTAGTACTGTAGTAGTACTGATAACAGGTAAAGTGACTATAGTGACAAAGTTACTAGTGAATTATCAGAAACACTCAGCAGTTCCGGTTACACATTCTCGTTGTACAGTCTGACAGCAGCAGGAAGGAAAGACCTGCGAAACCTCTCCTTCACACATCGAGGGTGAATAAGTCTGTCACTGAAGCTGCTCTCCAGAGCAGAGAGAGTGTCCTGCAGGGGGTGACAGTCATGGTCCCCACCTACCTCACTGACCTCCTCACTCCACACTCCTCAGGCAGAACCCGGTCAGACCAACAGCACCGTCTGCTCCCGCCCAGGACACGGCTCAAGAAAATGGGGGACCGGGCCTTCGAGGCCGCTGTTCCCCGTTTGTGGAACGCCCTCCCGGACCACCTCAGGGCCCCACAGACGGTGGAAGCTTTTAAAAAGGGACTCAAAACCCATCTTTTTACTAAAACGTACTGCTAATTTGTATTATTTTGTATAGTCTTTTATCTGATTTTATGTGTTTGCTTTTATTTATGCTGCTGTTTGTAGCACTTTGAGATTTGGTGTCAAATGTAAAGTGCATTATAAATAAAATGTATTATTATTATTATTATAGAACACTAGTAATGCTAAATTCAGCTAACTAATTAACAATAAAAGCAACTAACTAATGACTAAAACTCCAATATTCAACAACGCTATTAACACTACACAATTTCTATAATACAAACAGCTATGCTAATAAAAATCTACCTAAATGCTAAAACTAATCGCAAACCTGACAATCGATGAAAATACTCTGCTATTCCTTCTCCAACACGGGGGCGTGAACGAGACTGGGCCGTTTATATACCTCAGGGCAGCAGTGCAACTGACGATAGGAACAACCTCAGACGTCAGGAACAACCTCAGACGTCAGGAACAACCTCGGACGTCAGGAACAACCTCAGACGTCAGGAACAACCTCGGACGTCAGGAACAACCTCAGACGTTAGGAACAACCTCAGACGTTAGGAACAACAGCTGCGCCAGTGTTGGCGCCAGATTCAAAATTCAAATGTAGTAAATACAGGTCGCCTGCAGATGGCGCCTCAGACAGTTTTAGGCAGAAAGTTGATCTTTCAACTAATTTGCACCAAAGTGACAAAATTAGGACCAGGATATGTAGACAACACTATTGGACACTCATTTATACCATTTATCAGCAAAAAAAGGTGGATTTGAGGGTGAGTCGTCCTTAAAGACTCACATGACCACTCACTGTTTTCCAGAATTGTTTAACACGTAGGGGTTTGTCACATCCACACTTCCGCACCTTAAATTTGAGCATTTTCAACTAGCTTACAGTGATGGGCAAGCTACTTGATTTGTGTAGTGAGCTAAGCTACAAGCTACTCTACAATAAATTCAGCTTCACTACACAGAAGCTACCACCCATACAAATGTAGCAAGCTAAGTTACAAAATTCTGTCAAAAGTAGCTTGCTATATAGAAGCTATTTTCAATTAAACAAACTGCAGTTCATGCAATTTTATATTTTCCTGCATTAACATGTTTGCTCATTTCTTGAGTGTTTTATCCATGCAAAATGTGACATGTACATTTCTCCTGTGAGATTAATAAAGCTTATCTTCTTATTTGAGATAAACTGTCAGTCAGATAAAGGTTAAAATTGTGTAGATATTTATTGAACAATAGCCCAAAACACCAAAAACAACAAAGAGTAGGCATCTGAAAACATATTTCTTTTCGCTCATCTGGACTAGAGTGACGTACTTTTGGAGGTATGGCCACGGTACAACACTTTGAGAGTCCTTATCATGGTCCTCCTCCACCGCGGCGGCTCCTGGGCTCTCTGCCATGCTTTTGCTTCCCCCAGTAGCGCGCGCGCATGTGTGTGCGTGTGTGTGTGTGCGTGTACGTTTGTGTGTGTGTGTTGTTACCAAGCCCTGCGCATGCGCATCAGCATTCTGTCTTTCTATATGTTTGTTTTATGCTGCGGGAAAATGCTGTAATATATGAACATCAGAGATGTCTGTGAGAAAATAGCTTTGGCGGACGCTACCTCGCTACTTGAGCAATAATATAGCTTAGCTACAGAAAAGTTACTAGGTTTTGTAAATAGTGACGCTACTGTCAAGCTACTGAAAAATGTAGTTAAGCTAGTAGCGACGCTACTGCCCATCACTGCTAGCTTAGCATAGACCTGGCTTGTATTACAAGCTAACTTACAAAATAATACAACTTCTGGAACTGTGTTTGTCCAAACTTACTCTTGAATCGTTTGGCTTCCTCTTCGGACACATCTATTCCGGATTGAAGCACTTTTTCCAAAAGCTCTTCGGTTGAAAGAGCCCTTAACACGGTCCCTCCATGAGTTAGTCCAAGTCCGTAGTCTCCGCAGCGGGAAAATGAAACGACCTAACCACTACTAACAGTGTCCTTCCTCATTGGTGCTGCTGTTCATGTATTCATGCGCATTAATTTAAAGTAGTCCTTACTTGGGGCCAATATTGTACCCTCGAGGCTCAAATGTGTACCATATGTGGTACGTTTTTTGTGCCTTTTTAACATAAGTGGTACATGTATGTTCCTTTTTGAATTAAAAAACATTTTATTGTTCCCTTTTTACCCCAAAAAGGCTCAATAATGTATCTTAAGGACCAATAATGATCTACTTGGGTTACAATGTTCTAGATATGTACCTATGAGTACAGAAATGGTCTCCTAACGTACCCTTATTTCTGAGAGTGTAAGGACAACCACATCCGCTCCACTGTGGCACCTGGTGTTCCCAGAGGTCTCCCATCACAGCACTAACTAGGCCCTGCCATGCACAGCTTCAGAGGTCTGACAGGATCTGGCTTTTGCATCCAAGTGAGCCACAGGGAGAGTGCATGAAGTTACAGTACTGTATTTTATTGTATGTATTTGTATATTTGTATGGGACAGTGTGTATAATCAACATCAGCAGCTGTACGTACACCATATTGTAGCTATGTTTATTTCCACAATCTTTCAACGCTCACCTATTATACCGGTTTTAGTGGTAAGGGAAACCGGAGCACCTGGAGGAAACCTACGCAGGCACAGGGAGAACATGCAAACTCCACACAAAAAGGCATATGATCTACCCACGCAGGTAGATAGATCATATCCAATACAAGAATAACTTGTATTGTAATTGTATTGTATATCCACCAATCTCTTCCCGTTCCCCCTCATCAACAGACCCCTGTAGTTTGGGCGGGGTGGGAGCCGCCAGGAGGGTCAAAGAGAAAGAGAGCCACCATTGTCCGTTATACGTGATGTCACATAATAAAATGTGTGAATCTTTTCTCCTCTTGGTTATACATAGTAGGCTCGGATTATTAAGGCCAGGAATGTTAATTTGTATCGCACAGTTCAAGAACAGAGCAACTCAAAGTGCTTTACAAAAAAAAGATTTCAAATTTCAAAGAAACACACAACATACATTTACAATAATAAATGCGGGTTTAACCTGGATTTGTCGTTGTCTGTCATTTGCTGTGTCGAATTGTAGCTGCATGAATCTGAAATGCATTTAGTCTCGACATCATCATGAAACATAACAAAATTTTGAAATCGATTCATATGAATTTACTAAATCTATCTATCTAAAAATAATACATCACGTATTATTTTTGCAAATGTGATTTACTTCCTGTACTCAAGAACAAATAAAATGCATTGTTTGTGGTCATGTTCGCCCATAAAAGTAAAAATGTATCCAGAGAATATTTACTTTTGAAATAATTGTACGACTGAAATAAATGAGTAGACTTATAAAGTAATAGGAGACTGTCAGGAAGAACAACACCACAAGTGGTGGAAGTTACAAGTTACATGTACACTGTAACTTCTAACTTCTTAGAATTAGTTAAAGCCCCTAATTTATTTATTTATTTATTTTGAAAGATGCGCTGGGTAACGGCTGCAAGTCCTTAGTAGCTCTGATTAACAGTTGTGGTTTTCTTGCTTTTTTCTGCCTGAGATGTTGCTGCAGTACAGTGTGCAAAGTTTTGCACTGGTCCAGACCGGAGCGGAGAGGATTCATGGTCTGAGCCAAGCGGATCAGGTGAAAATCCACAGGAGGAAAGCTAACTTTTTGAAAAATGTTAATGAAGCATTTAGCATTTTACTTTGGACAAGAGCGGTCCAAACCAAGCGGCTACTCCACCTTTTGACCTGTCCTGCTCCACCCAGAGGCTACTCCATCTCTGCTGCTGTGACCCGTCCTGCTCCACCCAGAGGCTACTGAAGAGCTGTGGCTGATTATTACTGTTGTTATATTTTATTAGAATGATCAATTTTTCTTTATCATTTTTGCTACTACTGGACACCTGAATTTCTCCTTTGGGGATCAATAAAGTATCTATCTATCTAATTTGACTGTTGCATGGAGGCAATACTTTGGATTTGAAAGGCAGAGAAGAATAAGCCGCTCTTTGCTTTTATTGAGAAACAATATTGTAACATGGTTCAAAGTGTGGAGGTTCTGAACCCACCCATATTTTATTGGGGTTCTCTCGACTGATGATGATCGTGACTCCGTACATCTCGATGATCACAGTTCTGGTGATGGACACGGCTAAGTTGTTGCCTCTGTTTTCATTCTGCACGGTGACTTTAAATGGCTCCAGATACGGTTTCTTCACACACAACGCCGCCAGTTGATATTTACACGTACCCTGGAAGTGGGGATGTCAAGAGCATTGGGTTAATTCATAATCCTGAATATTTAGGTCACTTTATGAAAGTAAAATAAATAGTATGTATGACTTTTTTAGAAACTGTATGAATTAATCATTGTTCAACTGTAATATAACAATTGTGACAACCTTACCTGGAAGTCAAATCTACGGCCATCAAATGTCATGCAGTGAGGGTCTCCCTCGGATGTACATGTGCCAAAGGCCGACAAGCACGGATCCCATCCACCACAGAGCACTTCTCCTTGGGCGAGCATGAAGCCTTTTTGCAGACCACCATCCCCAGAGTCGTGTCACACTCACAGTAGCTCCTACAGCCCGGGCCTTCCCAGAAGCGCTGGCCTGGTTTGTAGTAGCGCCCCCGATAGGAGCAGCCACAGTTTTCTTTTGGGATGCACACGCCGGCGCTCAGGACATAGCCCTGATCGCACACACAGCCCTCCACACAAAGGGTGATACAGAACTTATCCGGCTCTGTGAAGGGGCAGGTCGGCTGGCACGGGCTGGCACATTCCTCAAAGTGACTGTGGGGCTGGCAGTTCATTGCTGCAAACATTGCTGTAACAACAAGTAACATGTATTAGCTTCATTTCTTTGTCTGATTTTAATGTCCTCCTTGATCCAGCGTTTACGTTTGATATTTTCAGAGTCAATGACCAATCCATAATGTGGTTATTGCTCTTGCAGTGACCCAATATGGTTTAGTCTCAATCTTGCTAGATCTGAGTGCAGCTTTTGACACTGTCGACCATGAGATCCTCTTACAGAGACTAGAGGACTGGGTTGGCGTCGCTGGCACTGCCCTAAGTTGGTTTGGGTCTTACCTTGAAGACAGGAAGTACTTTGTGGAGATTGGAAACTGTGTCTCAGATCATATGGCCCTGACCTGTGGAGTACCACAGGGGTCGATCCTGGGACCTCTTCTGTTCAATCTCTACATGCTGCCGTTAGCTCAATTAATACACAGAAGCGAAGTGTCCTATCATAACTATGCAGACGACACTCAGATCTATGTCTCACTGACTGCAGGAGAACATGGACCAGTGGACTCACTCCTTCACTGTATCCAACAGATCAGTGAGTGGATGGAAAATAACTTTCTCCAGCTAAACGCAAAGAAAACTGAAATGATTGTCTTTGGTCCCCAGAAACAAAGAGAGAGCGTCATCTGTCACCTCCAGTCTCTCTCCCTAAAACCCTCAAACAAGGTTAAAAATGTAGGGGTAATACTGGACTCAGACTTAAATTTTAATAGCCACATCAAATCAGTAACATCAGCAGCTTTTTACCATCTAAAAACATTGCCAGGATCAAAAACATAGTGTCTAAAGCAGACTTGGAGATTCTTATCCATGCATTTGTCTCCAGTAGGTTAGACTACTGCAATGGCCTGCTCAGTGCTCACAGGTCTGTCCAAACAGGCTGTAAAACAGCTGCAGTACATTCAAAATGCAGCTCGAGTCCTGACTAGAACCAGGAAGTACAACCACATTAGTCCAGTTCTCAGGTCTCTGCACTGGCTTCCTGTGGCTCAGAGAATAAACTTTAAAACAGCTCTGCTTGTGAACAAGTCTCTCCATGGCCTCGCACCAAAATATATTAGTGACATGTTAGTCCCATATGAACCAGCCCGGACTCTGAGGAGCACAGGGACTGGACTCCTGTTAGTGCCCAGAGTCAGAACTAAACATGGGGAGGCTGCTTTTCAGATTCATGCTGCTAAAATCTGGAACAATCTTCCTGAAGATGTGAGACAGGCCTCCTCTCTGACAATGTTTAAAACCAAGTTAAAAACAGTTATGTTTAGCTGTGCATACAACTGAGGGATTTTATATTTATATTTTTATCTTTTTAATGTAGAAACAAATGATCAGTGGTACATTTTGGAGGTAATCCTGATCTCTGTTACTAGGACTGAAACTACACCTCTTGGCAGAGTTCTATGCTCTATGAGTACTTATTTTGAGTGTTTTACTTTAAAAAGTAGGAAAAAGAGTAAGAGTAATAACAAAAAGAGTAAATGATACTAACATAACACAAATGGATGCTCGAAAAGGAGTGGGAAGAAGTAAACACTTATTTAATCCCACCTCTGATTACTTCAGTCATTACAAAGGTAAAGTAAAGGCTTCCTATTAGCTCCAACGTAAATTTAGCACAGACTGCAACATCTTAAACATCTTGATCATAAGCAAAATAAGTTTTGAAAATGTCATCAAAGAAAACATAACATTTAGACAGAAGCGGCGGAGGGACAGGGTCATGCATGATTATTCCACACTTTCCTTATATTAGCATGGATAGAGCTAAAAACAATTCCAGATCTGGTTTAAATGAGGAGGGTTATATTATTTCAAAGACATTTTTGCATAATGTGTTTAAAATACCTGGTTCATCGGTAACCTCCTCGCCCTGAGCCTGGCATGGACCTGATGAAAATGAGAGAAATGTGTAAAAAAGTTATATCTGATAAAATCTTTAAACTACTTATTACAGAAACATCCTCTTCCCTTTCTCAAGTTTCCTTTGATACATGCTGTTTGTTATGATAACGAAGGCCCATTGGAATTTAGTTAGATAGTGAGTTTAGTCATTATTAATTCAAGACAATAGTTTATACCTAAAGTATATTTTATCAAGACGAATAGGCATTCTGACCTCCATAACCAAACATGTTAACGGTTTTATTAGACATACAACTTGATTAAAAACTGCATTGCCAATCCACTCATAAATAAGAGTGAGTTAACTACAATATGTTTGGAGTCATCGTTTTCCATGAGTAAATCCATAAAAAGTATCCTCAAATAAAACAGCATTAAATAAAAAGAATGGCACTGGACTGGTATACATAAATACAATCTTTTGTGAAAATCAGGTACTTCAAAATCCTACATTTAAGTCATTTGAAAGCATCAATATTGTTTAGCCTATAAATATAAATCTTATCTTCATTGCAATGACATTCTTGACCTATCCTTACTTGCATGGGTGCAGGTATGTAGTAAGTAAGTAAGTAATCTTTATTTATATAGCACTTTTTTCAGACCAATACACCACTACACATTTATAGGATTAAAATGACTGTTCCACTGTTGCAAAAACACTGTCTTTTGCACTGAGAACATAAATGAATGATTGATATATTATCAATGCCGACCTACTGCATAATAATGACTGTTTCAATAACGCTGAAGTCCTAATGCCCCAAAAAGCCATTTTCAATTTAGATGGCGAGCCTTTGTGCTGCTCTCTCCAATTCTTCAGCCGTTTACATTAGATTTCTTTCACAAAGGCACCTGCCCCCAGCTCAGACAACAATGGACTCATCTGATGGAGCCGACAACTCGGATAAATTACTAAACATTGAACCATGACTGGGTCTCACGCTGGTAGAAAGCACAGCAATTTAAGAGTCAATATTCAGTCAATACTAAAAACCTCACTTTGTAGAGAGAATTAAATGTGGATTGGTGGAAAATAGGTACGTGATAAAAAAAATATCAAAAGCTAATGTTGAATTATCAAACCACAAGAAAATCAAAATTGTTAGGTACTAGTTTTCATGCAACCTCTGTACAGCTTTAAATCAGACTTTAAAAGACCTTTTCAGACGGAAAAATAAGTATGGATAACCAGTAATCATCATTGCTCAACTATACTGGGTAATTTTTTTAATACTTTTTTTGCAAGTTCACAAAAGATAAAATGTTTTGAACTGCATCATACTGCAATTAGTAGACACAATTTTGGTTGGGCCTTTTTGTGTGGGCTAAGCAAAATGTATGTATGATTTATGAAACAAATAGCTACTCCAACTTTAAATAGTTTTTGACATAAGAGTGCATTTGGAAAATTGATAAGCAAAATCTTTCAATGGAGGACGCATGACAGGAGTCAAATAGGACTAGAGCTACTTGATTCCTTACTATGGAGTTACGAAAGTCAAAATGTACCTACATCAGGATACTTATTTTCCAATTAAAGCAAATATTGAGAAAAAAGACATGAACTTACAGATGAAGAGAAGCAGCAGAGCAAAATGCAGCAACAGGAAACCCATCGCTGAAAGACAATAGTTACAATTATTATTCATATTACAATGTTACTCATGGATAACTGATCTTTGTCTTACCTGCTGAGATGCACATAACTGACGCCTTTATTTACACCAATATATACAGACTGCTGTGAAAAGGGTCAGCCAATCACAGTATGAGATGGGCAGATGGGCAGGACACCAACTGGACTAACAACTTCTCATTCTATGGCCCAGCTTGTAATACTTGTAGTACTTGTAATACTTACCATTTTAACATTCTAACAGGCAGTTGTAAGAAGATTCTATATCAGATATGAGCACAGTATTAGTTCATTGGATTTTCTGTTTTGGCGTATTCATCTATTTAATAGTTTGATGTTTAGTGTTTACTGGCCGGAAACCTTTCATTTCAAAATAGTTGGATTGACAAAAAGCTCTCCTGAAATGACTCAAAGAACTAATGAGAGCAATAAAACACAAGTGTATAATTTTCTTCAAAAGTTATTTTTGCTCTCTCTTAAAGGAATAGTTCACCGTTTTTACATACTTACATATGTTCTTACCTTACCTTAGACTAGTTAATATGTACCTGTCTGGTCTTAGTCCGTGCGCTCTGTCATGCAAACGGAGCAAAAACGGGAGCACAAACGCAGCCTCCTCTGTATACTGTATAGGACCCAAAAGGTAGCTCTCGCTAGAAGCTACCAAACTCTTCCAAGTGTTCCCTATTAAATGTATATAGTTACGTGACGTGTTACACTGCAAAGTATAGTAACACAGAAATGTAACTGTCGATTTTCTCAGCGGATAAAACGGGTACTATATTGTGAGGCGTAGTAATCTGAGGAGCGCTACGTCCGCGCACTAACTTCTCTCCGTACTACAAGTCACGCTGCTTCTATTGACGGAAGTGAGCGAGAGAGAAGTCTCCGGAGAGAAGTTAGTGCGCGGACGTAGCGCACGGACTAAGACCAGACAGGTACATATTAACTAGTCTAAGGTAAGGTAAGAACATATGTCAGTATGTAAAAACGGTGAACTATTCCTTTAAAGGGACTAATCAACCTCTGTTTACATTTGGAAATATAATTGGATTGGAGTGGTTGGATCTCATTTCTTCACAAGAAGATACTTCGGTTTGATTCCGGGTCATACCCTTGTTCTCCGTGTCTGACGGTTTCCTTCGGGTGCACCGGTTGCAGATTGTAGTTTTGTTAAGTCCTCCGAGATAACTATTGTTATTGGGCTATACAAGAATAAACTGAATTGAATTGAACTTGTGAACCAGTCATACAGTTTATGGGAGTGGTGAGTATCCTCCTCGATGTTTTCAGAATACCCATAAAAGCCCCGGTCTTTGTGACTCATTGTCTGAATTTATTTCTGGGTCAGGGGGGTGGCAGTCAGAGCTGCACCCAGTACACAGAGCACCAGGCCCTCAATGATCCTTCTGCAGGTGGTGAGTCCTCAGGAGCCGTGATCTTCTGGCGGTGATTTCAGGCAACGTGGGGTTAAGTGTCTTGCCCAAGGACACAATGACAGCAGACATCAATGGGAGTTGTGAAGTAGGTCTAATGGTGTGCACAAACAAACGCACGACCTTCAGGCCCAAAGGCCAATGCTCTACCAACTGAGCCACTGTCGCCGGGGCCGTAACAATACAATAATTATAAACTTCTAAGACCAATGGAGTAAGTTGGTTTCAGATCAAATCAAAACCTTTAAAAACATCCACGTTCTGACCAGGAATCAATCTCCCGTTGCAAAATTGAGTTACCAAATTCAGACCACTTGACCAGAAGGATAATTACACTAAAACCTAATGATGACGACGCACAGAGAATACAATACATGTTTCTTGACACTAACTACATGACTTCACCTGTTGCTTTTCAGAAAGCAGTGTCAGTCGGACTCTACTTTTAGGAGGTAAACAGTAGCTTGCTACAGGTACAATGTGTGTCATAAAAGAAGACAGCTAAGCAAAGCGCACAGATGAGTGGGTCACATGGCGCTGCTGCTGTTCTGGAAGCGAGGAGGAGGCGTTGTGTATGAATAAACTGTTAAGGATATTTTAGTCCTCCCCACGTAAACCTGTAAGCCCTTGTTTTAGACCCAGATCTCTATCTTCAGACCTGGTGAAGCTCTGGCCCTGAACTAATAAAATAATCTCACTCATTGCAGTCTGCACAAAATGAATCCACAGGTCACTTTGAGTGATGGTTGAATTCTCCTTTCTAGTTTAACAGGTTTCCAAGTATTTAGCACTTGTGGAGACCTGAAATTCCAATCTCTCAGGACAAGTCAGACTGCAATGGTGCCCAGGTGTTATTACCCAGATTACCATCTCGCAAAACCGGTGTCATCAGCATTCTCACCATTGGAGTTTTTGCAGAAGCCTGGGGTTATTGCCAAGACATAGTTAACCCGAGGTACCGCATGAAGGACAGCTCAATTCTCACTCCTGATGCTGTGCTGTACTGTCAGGCTGATCTGAGTCCTGTCAACAGAAAGAACTAGTGCTGCGATTAATCGACCATTATTTTTTCAGAGCACGCTGAAGTTTGATTAGTTTTGCACATAACATTTCCTCCTCAATGAAGTCCATATTTGATACAATTTTATTGTATCAAACATATACAATCATTGCATTTATGAGCTAAGTGATTGTATGTATGTATGTATGTATGTATGTATGTATGTATGTATGTATGTATGTATGTATGCATGTATGCATGTATGCATGCATGTATGTATGTATATTATATATATTAGTGCTGTCCAACGATTAAAATATTTAATCGCGATTAATCGCATGAATTTCATAGTTAACTCGCGATTAATCGCAAATTAGTCACACATTTGTATCTATTCTTTATGTCCCTTGAATTAATTAAAATAAAATAAAAATAATAAAATAAATTAATAATAATAATAAAATAAAATAAAAAATGAATGAATAAGTAGATAAATATAATAATAACATGAATAATATGTGCATATAATGATAATACACAAGTCAGGGTAAGCGAAAGCTTATTTTAATGCATGACACGTTTAGTTAAGAAAAACACTTAGGAAAAAGGAACAAAATAAGAGAGGGAATGGGCCGGGCGTGGGCTCCCTCCCCCCCTTTTTGGGGTGGGGGCCTGCTTGGGGGTCTGTGTGTGTGTCGGATTTGGTTTTGATGTTGGCTGGGTTCCGCTCAGCTTGGTGAAACTCAGGCGGGCAGACTTTATATCTTATCTTATCTGTGGGGTGTATGTGTGTGTGTGTGTGTGGAGTGTGTGTGTTTATGGGTGTGGGTGTGTGTGTGTATGTGTGGGTATAGACCATAGACTGTATAGAAACATCATGGTGTCATTATGATGATGATAAACAATCTGTAAATATTTTGTACATTTGTTCATGTAAATACTCTATGCTGTTTCTCTGTTTACTTTCGGTATATCTATGACTGTATACTGTTTGCTTGTATTGCCTTTTTTATTAACCCCTCCCCCCCATCTCCCACTTCCTGTATTTGGCTCCATCCATCTTCCCATCAATTTTAGCCATCTTCCCTGTCCCTGCTGAAGAAAAGCAGCCCCAAACCATGATGCTGCCACCACCATGTTTGACAGTGGGTATGGTGTGTTCAGGATGATGAGCTGTGTTGCTTTTACGCCAAACATATTGTTTTGCATTGTGGCCAAAAAGTTTGATTTTGGTTTCATCTGACCAGAGCACCTTCTTCCACATGTTTGGTGTGTCTCCCAGGTGGCTTGTGGCAAACTTTAAACCAGACTTTTTATGGATATCTTTGAGAAATGGCTTTCTTCTTGCCACTCTTCCGTAAAGGCCAGATTTGTGCAGTGCACGACTGATTGTCCTATGGACAGACTCCCCCACCTCAGCTGTAGTTATCTGCAGTTAATCCAGAGTGATCATGGGCCTCTTGGCTGCATCTCTGATCTGAGTCTTCTCCTTGTTTGAGATGAAAGTTTGGAGGATTTGCAGTGGTCTGATACTCCTTCCATTTCAATATAATTGCTTGCACAGTGCTCCTTGAGATGTTTAAAGCTTGGGAAATCTTTTTGTATCCAAATCCGGCTTTAAACTTCTCCACAACAGTATCTCGGACCTGCCTGGTGTGTTCCTTTGTCTTCATGGTTCTCTCTGTGCTTTAAACAGAACCCTGAGACTATCAAAGAGCAGGTGCATTTATACGGAGACTTGATTACACACAGGTGCATTCTATTTATCATCATCAGTCATTTAGGACAACATTGGATCATTCAAAGATCCTCACTGAACTTCTGGAGTGAGTTTGCTGCACTGAAAGTAAAGGGGCCGAATAATATTGCACGCCCCACTTTTCAGTTTTATATCCAATAAATTTCGTTCCACTTCACGATTGTGTCCCACTTGTTGTTGATTCATGACAAAAAAATAAAATTTTATATCTTTATGTTTGAAGCCTGAAATGTGGCGAAATATTGAAAGGTTCAAGAAAACGTTCGCACTGTATATATATATATATATATATATATATGAATAATCAAAAAGGAACTTATATGCATATCCAAATAACTGATCCGAGAGTTTGGAATTTCATTGTTGTCTAACTTCCCCAACAAATTGAAATGTTTTAAATGTGGTTCGACCTCACATTTTATCGATCATCAGTCTCTTGACTAGGGCTTGTCCCATTTATTTTTAAACATGCTGTGGTCCAGCCACATTTAAAGAGATCTAATTAGAATTTAAATGTTATTTGAGAAATCCCAATTGTGTTTTAAAGAATTACACAGTAGAGACAGCTCTCCAATGAGTGATCCATTTAAATTCGTTATGACTAAAGTGCAACCTTTGACACAATTGACCACAATATTTAATGACCACAATAATGTAATAATAGCCTTTTATGTTTTAGATGAACTTTGCTTCCTCTGGCTCCTTGAGCATTTTAGAATTTACTCTAATATTTTACTGATAATTTTTAAATTTAGGTCTGGCACTAAGTTACCAAACTTTTAACC